GGGAATCCAGGGCGGATGATCCCTTCAGGACCAGTGGTGTGAGTGGTGATACTGGGAGGGGAGAGAGAGAGTGGGTTGGAAAGAGGGAACCAATTACAAGGAAGTATATGTGACCTCCTCCCTGGAGGACAGACAACAGAAAAGTGGGTGAAGGGATACGTCGGAGAGGGGAAAAAAATGGTGATGGCAACAAAAGCATGAATGTGCTTGATGCAATGGATGGATGGATTGTTATAAGAGATGTAAGATCCCCCAATAAAATGATCTTTTAATAATAATAATAATAAAGTGAAGAAGAAGGCGTGAGCAACTCTGGTAGGTCCTGGCTCTCAGGGTGAGAACACGTTCGGTTTCCTTCCCTGTAGTTTACAATTGGCATCCTAATAGAAGGAGACCAAAATATGTTTACAAATTTACAGGAAACTTTAAGAAGGCAGGATTAACAAAACACTTTTTCTAGGGCTTTCATAGAAAGAACCATGAGGTTAGGTTGAGGCCAGTTTGAGTAAAGTGGGTCGGAGGGAAAGACAGACGTAAGAATTTGTAAGGCTCGGTAGCCCCACCTAGATATAGTAAAAAAGGAACCATGGAAGTATACTGGGTTGTACTGTGCTGCAATCTGTATGGTGGGTAGTTCGAAACCACCAGCAGCTCTGTGGGAGAAACTGTGAGCTGTCTGTTCCCATGAACAGTTACAGTGTCGGAAACCTATGGGGGTCACTCGGGTTCAGCAATGACTCATGCCAGCGAGTTTGTTTTTTGAAGACACACTAAAAAGATACGTAATGAGAACTAATCTTCTTCCTTTTTTCCAGTGATCCATAATTCTCTGAGTAACCAAAGCGGCAAGAGGCTGACTGATCACCCGGAGTATGAACATTTGACCTGCCGCTATCAGAGAAAGGGACTGCAAGGTACCCCTTTGAAATAATAATCATCCTTTCCTAATAATCCAGCTCTCAGTCTGCTAGTGTGTATCTGCAGAACTGCAACTTCTGAGCTCCAGGCTGGCTTGTTTTATGGCTCTCTTAAACTGTGTAGTTAGAAGTCTAAAATAAAATCCACTGCCATTGAATCTATTTCCACCCACAGCGACCCGATGTGGGACACAGAGTAGACCTGTTACTAGGGTTACAGAGACTGCGCAGGAGTAGAGCCTCATTTTTCCCCTCTGCGGGGACTGGTGGGTTTGAATCATTGCCTTTTTGGTTAATAGCCCAATGTTTATCGCACAACCCCATAGATATCTCAAAATTAAAGTATTAAATCTCAACATTTTTTCCCTTAAAATCCTCTCCAGGTTTCCCTAGCCCAGCCCACTCTCCTCACCCAACAATTCCTCAAGCCTAAATTCTGAGAAACACTTTTTTTTTTCCTAAGAATAATTCTGAGACTTCAAGTGTTTTCTGGTGCAGACAGCCTCAACTGTCTCCCCTGGACTGGCTGTTGGGTTTGAACTGCCAACTGTGTGTTTAGTGGCCTAACACCTAACCCATAGGATCACCAGGACTCCTTCCTACCCACACAGTCCTGAACTAAGTAAGTAATAAATATATAGAGATTTCAGATCAGAATAAAAAGTGAATGGTGAAATATGGCTTAAGTAAGCCAACATGTTTCGCATAGAGGGAGAGTGAAGGTGGTCTTTTGAATGTTGTATGCAGTTCAATTAATTCCAGGTAAGTGTAAAATGAATTATTGTGCTCGTGAATAGGGAAAATCTGTGTAACGTGGGTCCGTGTTTCTCTTCAGGAGAGAAGTCAGGCCACTGAGGCTGTGGTCAGGTGGTGCACTGGCCAGGCACACACTGAAGATACACATGGGGAGTTTTGTCAACCAAGGAAATTCACCCTAGGCTCCATGGTCAGTGCTTTTAGTGGGGCTCCATTACATACGCAGGAGTCCCTGGTGGCTGCAAACAGTGAAGCACTCAACTACCAACCAAAAGGTTGGTGGGTCTAATCCACTCGGAGGCACCTTGAAAGAAAAGCCTGGTGATCTGTTTTTAAAAAGTGACAAGCTTGCAAGTTCCAGGAGGTGCAGGTTGCGCTGCTCTGCAACCCGCAGACCCCCGGGAGTTGGAAGTCACTACGCGTAACCAGTTCAGTTAGATAGGACCACTGATGGATCGGTTTCCCGCTTGGTGGGTCTCAGCATCTCAGTACTAGTCAACTGATGATCACCATACGGTTGGTGTTTCTGGTGGACCATAGCCTCCAACCCTAGGACTCTCAGGTATAGCTGACCTCACCCTAAAATAAGGTCTGGTCATCCTCCAACGTAAACAAAGGCATCAGATTACCCCTCAGAAACTTCTCAAAAGGACTACATCTCTCTTTGGGGAATGCCAGATTCTTCACTACCAACTGATCACTCAGAGAAACCCATGAGAGACAAAGAAACAACAAAATCTTCTTCAATACTTCCACAATAAATAGATTACTGAGGCTTTGGGGATTTTGTTGGCTTAAGGAAAGAACATGGGAAAGAAAGATTGGTTTGTTTTTCATTCTTACTAGACTCTAGTTCCCTCGCATATTTGCCTTAACAATGGCACAATATAACTTAATTGGCAAAGTCAATCCTTATTGGTAAAACAGTCAAATCAGATGCACTGTGTCAGAAAGGCTTATCTATTCAGTTGTCTATATTAATATACATTTTGGAAAATTTTAATTTAAAAATATAGAAATAGGTAGGAAAGAGTGAACTGACTACAAGGAACTATATGTGACCTCCTCCCTGGGGGATGGACAACAGAAAAGTGGGTGAAGGGAGACATCGGACAGGGAAAGATATGACAAAATAACAATTTATAAATTATCAAGGGCTCATGAGGGAGGGGGGAAAAGAGAGGGAGGGGAAAAATGAGGACCTAATGCCGGGGGTTTAAGTGGAGAGAAAATGTCTTGAGAATGATGAGGGCAATGAATGTACAAATGCGCTTTACAAAATTGATGTGTGTATGGATTGTGATAAGAGTTGTATGAGCCCCTAATAAAATGATTTCAAATAAATAAATAAAAATATAGAAATAAATTCCTGATAGTTGGGCATCATCTGTTTCTTAACCACACTTTGTTATAGCACCCATATCTTCAATGATCACTTCATGAAGGTCAGTATGGAGAAGGGTCACAACATAAGGACTGATTGTTCTTAGGTTATGCTTAAGTGTGAGCTCAAAATCCATTCCTATATCTAAGGTTTATATAAATATCGCCATTTCACTTTGGTGGCAGCATTATCAGCTTTTTGAGAAATAATAGACGTAACTTCCATGGGGCAATTGGTAATTCTAATCATAGTATCATTAAACTAGTCAATGGTGTAGGATTTAACATACTGTTGAGATAAGGGGAATATTCATATATGAGAAAGTAAGACATGAGACATTCACTTGTTAGGTGCCATCTAGCCTGCTACGCCCTTAGCAACACAATGCACAAGAGAAGGAAACACTGCCCGGTCCTGCCCATCCTTACAATTGTTCCTATGCCTGAGCCCATAGTTGTAGCCATGGTGTCAATTCATCTGGTTGAGGACCTTCTTCTACTTTGCTGCCCCTCTGCTTTACCAGCCATGATGTCCCCCAGGGACTTGTCTCTCCTGACAATATGTCCCAAATAGGTGAGATGAAGTCTTGCCATCCTTGCCTTCAAGGAGCACTCTGGCCTTACTTCTTACAATACAGATTGGTTTGTCTTTCTAGCAGCCCATGATATTTTCAATATTCTTCTCCAGCACCACAATTCAAATGCATTAGTTCTTCAGTCCTCCTTATTCAATATCCAACTTTCATATGCATGTAATGCAATGGAAAATACCATGGTTTGGGAAAAGCATGTCTTAATCCTCAAAGTAACATCCTTGTTCTTCTATACTCTAAAGAGGTTTTGTGCAGCAGACTTACCCATGCAACGTGTCTTTTGATCTCTTTGCTGCTTCCACAAGCATTGATTGTGGATCTAAGGAAGACAAAATCCTTGACAACTTCAACCTTTTCTCCATTTATCATGATGTCTATTTGTCTAGTTGTGATCATTTGGGTCTTCTTGATATTGAGTTGTAATTCATATTGAAGACTGCAGTTCTTGATCTTTATCAGTAAGTGCTTCAAGTCCTCAATTTGAGCAAGCAAGCTTGTGTCATCTGCATGTTGCAGATTGTTAATGAGCCTTCTTCCAATGCTGATGCCACATTGTTCTCCATAAAATCCAGTTCCTCTGATGATTTGCTCACCATAAAGACTGAACACATATTCTGAGAGGATACAACCTTGACTCACATCTTTCCCTTGTTCTGTTGGCAGAACTGATCCATGAACTTGATCCATGTATAAGTTCCTTATGAGCACAATGAAATGTTCTGAAATTTCCATTCTTCTCAAGATTATCCATAGTTTATTATGGTCCACACAGTCAAATGCCTTTGCACAGAGTCAATAAAACACAAGTAAACATCTTTCTGGTATTTTCTACTTTGAGCCAAGATCCATCTGACATCTGTAATGATATCCCTTGTTCTATGTCATCTCCTGAATTCAGTCACTTAAGTTTTTTAATAGGTATAAGTGAACATAAGGAAGACCTTATGTAACTGTCTACAGGAGTAGAAAGCCCAGTCTTTCTCCCATGGTGCCACTGGAGGTTTTGACTGCCAACCTTTCCTGTTGCATCCCAATGCATAACCACTACACCACCAGGGAGCCTAGGTTCACGTATACCCATTAACAACTGAAGTGACTGAATCGTTTAACAAAACAATGAGGGTTAGACACAGGGCACCCAAAGTTCAATAACACTCATTCCCTTTGGAGAACTATGTCTGCAAAACTAATTCACGTCTTTATATCCCAAGAAAATATTAAAATGGCAAATGTATGTTAATCTTGAATTGCCCAGTGCTGTCCAGATCCACGATCTTGGAGGGCAGTCCTCTTCCTCGTCTCTCACCAGGACTGTTCAGCTTTGACTCCAAAGCTGTATCTCAGTTCCTTTCATCTGCAACACGTGCGTTCACAGTAAAGTCAGGTTCACTTGGTGGGCTTTCTGACACAGATCTTTTTGATGTGGCCTATGCAGTATGCTGTACACTTAAAGAAGGAAAAAAAAATCTAAAGTCCAAGTAGCCTGTTGTATGGGGCCTGGGTAACCAAGGACTGAAAAGGAATTTGGTGTAAAATGCATGCTAATACAGGGCAGATTCTCCCCCCTGGGTGTTCATAAAAGTAATGTCAAGTATTTTCCCCAAAAGTAAACAACTTTCCCACCCCCTCT